CGACGCTGTCGTCAAGCCGTATCGCGCCCCGTCTGTCATGTTATCTGAGCGACAGCGTTGAGTTTCGCTGATCGCTCTCATTTGTCGCCTCCCGTGTGTCGGGCCCATTAGTCCTGCTTTAGTCCTGCTTTAGTCCTGCTTCAGTCCTGCTTCAGTCCTCCTTTAGACCTGCTTTGGTCCTGCTTTGGTCCTGCTTTAGACCTGCTTTAGTCCTGCTTTAGACCTGCTCTAGCCCTGCTTTAGTCCTGCTTTAGTCCTGCTCTAGCCCTGCTTTAGTCCTGCTTTAGTCCTGCTTTAGACCTGCTCTAGCCCTGCTTTAGTCCTGCTTTAGTCCTGCTCTAGCCCTGCTTTAGTCCTGCTTTAGTCCTGCTTTAGTCCTGCTTTAGACCTGCTTTAGACCTGCTTTAGTCCTGCTTTAGTCCTGCTTTAGTCCTGCTTTAGTCCTGCTTTAGTCCTACTTTAGACCTGCTTTGGTCCTGCTTTAGACCTGCTTTGGTCCTACTTTAGACTTGCTTTAGACCTGCTTAAGTCCTGCTTTAGTCCTGCTTTAGACCTGCTTTAGTCCTGCTTTAGACCTGCTTTAGACCTGCTTTAGTCCTGCTTCAGATCTGCTTAAGTCCTGCTTTAGTCCTGCTTTAGTCCTGCTTTAGTCCTGGTTTTGTCCGTGCTTTGATCATCAATGTTTTCTGGTCTTAATAGCTCATGCCTCCAGTCTCTCGTTGGGTAGTTTTCCATGTTGTTGTCAGCAGTTCCAGTCTCTGCTTCTGGATGAGTTTAGCTCCGGTTTAACGTCTTATTAGAGAATTCCTTTAAAATTTCTACTGTTTTTGTGTTTCCATCCTTTGCTATCAAAGACTTGGACTGGATCTGGTTCGTCCCAAAGTATGAATACTGTTGTAGGAGACATAAGGTACCACCCCCAGCCACATGGGGGCGCTGTGGCCTTATGTTGCCTGTGCCCATTGTGAATATTTTTGTATTACTGGTCAAAAGGGGCCATAAAGAACCTCTGATGCAATATTTGGACTGTGGTAACTGTTCCTCTCCCTCTCTGTTCTCTCTCTGGTCTCTCCCTCTCTGTTCTCTCTCTGTGGTCTCTCCCTCTCTGTTCTCGCCCTCTCTGTTCTCTCTCTGGTCTCTCCCTCTCTGTTCTCTTTCTGGTCTCTCCCTCTCTGTTCTCTCCCTCTGTTCTCTCTCTGGTCTCTCCCTCTCTGTTCTCTTTCTGGTCTCTCCCTCTCTGTTCTCTCCCTCTGTTCTCTCTCTGGTCTCTCCCTCTCTGTTCTCTTTCTGGTCTCTCCCTCTCTTTTCTCTCCCTCTGTTCTCTCTCTGGTCTCTCCCTCTCTGTTCTCTCTCTGGTCTCTCCCTCTCTGTTCTCTCTCTGGTCTCTCCCTCTCCCTCTCTGTTCTCTCTCTGGTCTCTCCCTCTCTGTTCTCTCTCTGGTCTCTCCCTCTCTCTCTCTGTTCTCTCTCTGGTCTCTCCCTCTCTGTTCTCTCTCTGGTCTCTCCCTCTCCCTCTCTGTTCTCTCTCTGGTCTCTCCCTCTCTCTCTCTGTTCTCTCTCTGGTCTCTCTCTCTCTCGGCAAATATTAACTGATGCTAAGTTTAGTCTAGAAGTTGGATATTCGTGCTATGTTTATTTATCTATATTTCTCTCTCTTTCGTCTTGCTCTCATCTCTCTTATTTCTCTACCTTTCTAGCCTCTCTCTCTGGTCTCTCTCTCTCTATGGTCTCTCTCCCTCTAGTCTCTCTCGGGTCTCTCTCTCTGGTGTCTCTCTATGGTCTCTCACCCTCTGGTCTCTCTTTCTCTGTGGTGTCTCTCTCGGGCCTCTCTCTCTCTATGGTCTCTCTCTCTCACTGGCCTCTCTCCCTGCTCGCTCTCTCTTTAGTCTCTCTCTGGTCTCTCTCGCTCTAGCCTCTGGTCACCTTTTCTCTGGTTTCCCTGCTCTCTCTCTCTCTCTCTCTCTCTGTGATGTCACATAGTCTCCTCTGGCCTGTCCTACTTGGCTCTCCCACCTCTGCAGTGTTTTCCTCTTCAGTCGTCAAAGCAGACGATCTGTTATGAGGTGCTTAGCTTTTATTATTAGCATCATCTGAAACTCGTTCATCGCTGGTCTCATGTTGACACGGGTCAAGTCATGCACACTGTTTTTCCAACTCTGCTTTAATTGGGCGACAAAACTAACAGTGGTATCAGGATCGGGCTGATAACATGGAGAGGGCTGAACAACTCTGGATGGAGCTATTTTTAGAAATATAACACAACTGTTTTCATGAGTTTGACAAGTGGACGTGCCTGAGGTTCTAGTGATGAATTATCAGAAAAACAGAAAGTAGTGTCTCTCTCTGATCTCCCTCTGATCTCTTTCTAGTCTCTCTCTGGTCTCTCTCTGGTCTCTCTCTCTGGTCTCTCTCTCTGGTCTCTCTCTGGTCTCTCTCTGGTCTCTCTCTGGTCCCTCTCTCCCTTCAGGTGTGTGTGTGTGTGTGTGTGTGTGTGTGTGTGTGTCTGTCTCTGTGCATGTGTCCGTCTCTATCTCTGTGTTTGTGTGTGTCTATTTGTGTGTGTCTGTGTGTGTGTGTGTACTTGTCATCCTTCTGTTACATTGCTGTATACATAACTAAAATCACCAAACAGACAGAAACATTTGGTCGTGGTCCATCTTACAGCTCCACTTCTGCTTCAGGACCAGTTGTGTTAGTACTGGTGTGAATATTCCTTATGGTTTATAGATGCATGGAGTTAAAAATGTCCAACTTCCTGTTCTATCTATCTATCCATCTAAGCATGACTTTCCACACCCCAACTTGTTTTTGTGTTTTCTTTACAACATTATCCCCTCTCCATGTCTCTCCTTCTTCTAATATTAGTTTGAATCAAAAGCTCAGATGAAGAGGGGACTGCCATGACCTTTATCTCTGTGTGGAAAGTTCACCGCGTCCTGCCAGACTCTGGGTCAGATCCTACTTCAGCAAGTGAGGAGAGGTGCACGAGAGGGCACACACACACACACACAGGCGCGCACACACACACACACAGGCGCACAAACACACAGAGAGACGCACACACAGGCACATACACAGATGAGGAAGTAATAATCAAGTTATAAGTAACTATAAAACCACATATCTCTCCCGCTGGTCTCTCTTTGGTCTCTTTTTTCTGGTCTCTCTCTCTTTCAAAATTTGTGACATGTTTTTCATTTCATAATTGATATTTGTATCTTGTTTTGTGCAGGTTTTGAAATAAATAAATAACTAACTAATTAACTCTCTGGTCTCTCTCTGGTCTCTCTCGGGTCCTTCTCTGGTCCCTCTCTGTCTCTCTGGTCTCTCTCGGGTCTCTCTCTTGTCTCTCTCTCTCTCTAGTCTCTCTCTGGTCTCTCTCTCTCTCTCTAGTCTCTCTCTGGTCCCTCTATCTCTTTCTCCGCTCTCTCATGGTCTCTCTCTCTCTCTCTTTCAGTTTGGCCTATTTCGTTCCCATACTGTTTTAGCATTGATTACTTTCTGACTGTCAATACTTCTACTTCTACTACATCATAACAATGCATCTTCCGTCTAATGTCTCCATAACGAGACGGGCCTGTTCTAGCACAGTAATTTCACCACAGAAGCAAAACCCCAGAGGAAAGAGAAAGTAAACAGAGCAGCTGATGGCACGTGCCGGACCAGCTGCCTGCGTCCCCACACTTTCCATCATGGTTTTCGGGGTCAGGGAGGACCAGCGCTGGGTCACAGGCTGGATTTACACTGGGGTATCCGGTCATGAGGCACAGACCAGAGTCCAGAGTCCTGACCGGTCTCCAGGGGGTCTGACAGAAGAGCGGGAGGAGGCGGAGGGGGCAGAGGGCGGGGGTGGGGGGGGGAGCACGCGCCAATGACTCAACAACAACAAGGAGAGTATTTTGGGAGCAGTGGAGTCCCCATAGAAGCACATAAACAAGAGAGAATGTGAGGATACTGTTAAAACAACTAGGACTTTGGACTGGGATAACTCGCTCTCTCTGGTCTCTCTTTCTCTCTCTCTCTCTGGACTCTCTCTCTGGTCTCTCTTTGGTCTCTCTCTGGTCCCTCTATCTCTCAGTCCCTCTCCCTGGTCTCTCTCTCTCATGGTCTCTGGTCTCTCTTTGGTCTCTCTCTTTCTCTGGTCTCTCTTTGGTCTCTCTCTGGTCCCTATCTCTCTCTCTCTCTCTCTATTTGGTCTCTCTTTCTCTGGTTTCACTCTCTGGTCCCTCAATCTTTCTTTAGTCTCTCTCTCTGGTCCCTCTTTTTCTATGGTTTCTCTCTCTCTCTCTGATCTCTCCATCTTTCTCTCTTTCTCTCTGGTCTCTCTCTCTCATCATACAAAAATGGGTATTGAATGTGGGGCAGAATAAGAAAACCGTTAACCAAAACAAGGACTTTGGACTGGGAAAAGAATGCTTACTGGTGAGGCTTATTCAAAGGGGAAAGACTGTTCTACACATATTTATCATGCAAAATTCTTAATATATACGATACTACAGCGTAATATGGTCAAAATGTATGTATTATTTTCTAATTCATCCAATTGTAGAGACTTTTAAATCTAATCTTAAGACACATTTCGAGATCCACAGTGTTAATACTAATAATATTTAGTATTAACACTGTGTAAAATAATATTTTACTCTCAACAGAAGCAACAGTCTGTGCCATCAGCTCCTCTGACCACCACCAACTATTCACACTCACACCACACTCATTCTAACGAGGGTGAAGTGTCTAAGGCCACAACCACAGTTTGGCACTTCACAGCCGCAGCCGCCCCACTGAGGTCTCCCATCACAATACTAACCGGACCCTGCCATGCTTAGCCTGAGAGGTCTGACAGGATCTGGCTTTCACCTGTGCACATACTTTGGCATTTCACACGTCTCTAAGTCTGTTTTCATTTCGTTTTCCTTTTGTGCATGTGCAACACTTTGGGCAGCTGGTTTTGTAAATGTGCTATACATATAAATCAGACATAGCCACGTGCGCTCTCACCACTCTCCCGGAGCTCCTCTCAATGGCCTTCTTCACCTTCCCGTAGGTCCCTCTGCCCAGCGTCTCCAGCAGCTCGTAGCGGTGTTTCAGGTTGTGTTTGTGGTGATGCTTCTTCACCCCTGAGCCTCTGCGGTCCCGAGGAGGACTGTCGGCGGGAGAGGAGGAGGAGGGAGGAGCGGGAGGAGCAGGAAGAGCAGGAGGAGGAGGAGGCGGAGGAGACCGGTCCACGCGGGACAGCCTGCCCAGGGATGAGTGACCTCTCAGGGACTCAGAGCGAGACGCCCTCCGGTGGGGCGCAAAATAAGAGGCTTCCATCTCAATAAGGAACAACTATGATGCTATTCCCAAGTGAAATAGTTACTAATACAACTGATAATATAATAGCCTTAATAATAGCAGTAGCCTAATAAATAAATAAATTACACAGAATAACGTAGGTTTCTTATCATATTATATGGAAACGTGCATTCCCAGATTGTCTATTATCATTAGTGATAGTGTGATTATCTGTGATACAAGTCCACACTAATCATGTTATAATAAATCATGTAATAACAGCCTAAAAATACTGGCTCTATGTAAATCTATGGCATAAATTGGCTCTCTGTCTTCACGCTTAGAGCCTGGATGTGCAGCCACTCATCATAACGCACGGCTGAAATATTGTCTATCATGCAAAAAAAAAAAAAAAAGACAAAAAAAAGCCTAAAATAAATTTGGTATGATCTCACCCCTCGAGGCGCGGATGTGCTCTGGCTAAATCCACTACTACCGCTGCCAACAAACACATCACCGAGGAGTATGTGGGAGAGGAAGGCGAGAAAGCAGCGACAAACCCAGCGTTCTGGATGAAGATGACCCTCATTCTGTCCACGGCTCTCCAGGTGTATGTCCCCCAGTCTCTCTCTCTCTCTCTCTCGCTCCTCACTCGTCCGCTCGGCTCCTGAGGCTCCCGTGCGCCTGCGAGCCCTGAGCCAAAGCCTGGTCCTGGTCTTGGTCCTGGAGCGCACTACGGTCTGACTCTGCAATCTCAGGCCGAGGCGGGCTGGTCCAGGCCATGTTCGTTCAAGCGGCTCGCCTGCCTGTGTGTGCCCGGTGTCTAAGCTCTGTCTGTTCTGTCTGCGCTCTCTCTCTCCGCGGTGAGAGGTTGTGAAGGAAGAATGTGAGGAGACGCGTCTGTGGGCGTGGTGAAGCCTGTGCCTCCCCCCTCTCCCTCCCCCTCTCTCTCTTCCTCTCTCTCTTCCTCTCTCTCTCTGGTCTCCTCAGCTGGTCTTTTCTTTGTGCTCTTTCTCTGGTTTTCAACAGTAAAAGGCTGCAGTCAATACAGCGCTCCAGAGGTCACCATTACGCACGGGATCTGTGTAAATGTCAGAGTCCAAAACAAGAATCATCATTTGTGTTGTTAATTAGTAGATTGTTCCAGAGAGAGAGAGAGAGAGAGAGAGGAGAGAGAGAGAGAGAGAGAGAGAGAGAGAGAGAGAGAGAGAGAGAGAGAGAGAGAGAGAGAGAGAGAGAGAGAGAGAGAGAGAGAGAGAGAGAGAGACCAGGGAGAGAGAGAGAGAAAGAGAGAGAGACAGAGAGAGACAGAGAGAGAGAGAGAGAGAGAGAGAGAGAGAGAGAGAGAGAGAGAGAGAGAGAGAGAGAGAGAGAGAGAGAGAGAGAGAGAGAGTGAGAGAGAGTGAGAGAGAGAGAGAGAGAGAGAGAGAGAGAGAGAGAGAGAGAGAGAGAGAGAGAGAGGGAGAGAGAGAGAGAGAGAGAGATTGAGAGAGAGAGAGAGAGAGAGAGAGAGAGAGAGAGACCAGGGAGAGAGAGAGAGAGAAAGAGAGAGAGACCAGGGAGAGAGAGAGAGAGGAGAGAGAGAGAGAGAAAGAGAGAGAGAGAGAGAGAGAGAGAGAGAGAGAGAGAGACCAGGGAGAGAGAGAGAGAGACCAGGGAGAGAGAGAGAGAGAGAGAGACCAGGGAGAGAAAGAGAGAGAGAGACCAGGGAGAGAGAGAGACCAGAGAGAGATGGACCAGAGAGAGGGAGAGAGGCCATGAGAGAGACCAGAGAGAGGGGAACCAGAGGGAGACCAGAGAGAGAGAGAGAGAGAGAGAGAGATTGAGAGAGAGAGACAGAGAGAGAGACCAGGGAGAGAGAGAGAGAGAGAGAGACAGAGAGAGAGAGAGACAGAGAGAGAGAGAGAGAGAGACAGAGAGAGAGACAGAGAGAGAGAGAGAGAGAGAGAGAGAGAGACCAGGGAGAGAGAGAGAGAGAAGAGAAAGAGATCCAAGATTATACTAAGTTCCCCTTCAAATAATGTCCAGAAGATAACCCATCCGCCCTGCCGCCCTGCTCAGAAGCTGTTTTCCCCAGAAATTCAACTACCCTGCGCTTGGCCTGGGGCACATATTGTGATGGACTTCACAATATGAGTCACAGTGCGCAGAAAGCGGTACCTGTTTTTGTCATCACTGTCACTTTAAATTGATTGGCCTGAGGCATATCCTGCTGCAAAAGCGGAATGCAGCTCTGTAATCAAAGCCTTAAGTCAGCATTACTCCCAACGCCATAAAATGCTTTTCCCCATTAATAATGTCTGACAATGGGACGCTTTTCAGGAACAAACACTCATCTTGCAATTGTAGAAAATCTCTGAGGCTAAAAACATAAACATTTGGAACGCTCCTATATCCATCCTCAATCCCAGGGCCGAGTTGAAAGGATAATCCAGAACATTGAAAAGTAAACTCTCTAAAATCCTGGCTACGATAAATGGATGGCTACAGGCATTGCCTATTGCCTGTTGTCAGCAAGGCACTCTGTTAACCGCAATTCACCATTTCTCCCCATACGAGCTTTAACAGGAGGCCTATGCCAGGACCAGGAAACAGGTGGTGCCTTTCACAAAGAACGACCCCCAACACCCCCAGTGCGGTGTACTGGGAACAATTGAGAGAAATGTTGTCTAGTTTTTCCCATCAGGTTGAAGGAAGTCTCGACCTCTGCGAGAAGGAGGCCTCGGAGGATCCACCTGCCTGGGTCCGTGTGAAGGTGTTCAAAAGGAAGTGGAACGAGCCCCGCTGGACCGGACCCCTTTGAAGTGGTGGCCCGCACTCGCAAAGCTGTTCAAACTGAAGGGACATGGGAACAAGTGGTTTCATCTCTCTCATACGAGACCATCTGACCCACCCTCGTAACCACGCTCACGGGTTGGACAGGACTCACACACACGCTTACACTCGCTCTTAATATGTTGCCTGGGACAGGGAGCCCTGGCCCACGACCAAAAGAGGAGAGCCATCCTATGGGCTATCGCTGCAGTTGGTTTGGTCGTGGTCCCTGGAATTTTAACATGGGAAGTGTTAGAAAACACACAGCTAAGAGACAGGGCCAACTTGTAACACAATCCAGTCTTTGGTCCAATTAATACTGACAGAAATAAAAGATCCATAAGAGAAAGCAGCGTTAGAGACTCCTACCTACGATTGTAGACAGTAAAATGCCCGGTGGGTGCGACAATTACAGCCACATACCAATGGCAACAATCTTTCCATTATCCTTTCGACCTGACTACACACTCTACCTGTGTTACACACCGTCAACATGTAAATATGAGAGACATGGAAAAAGCTTTAGACATCGGTGGACTGCACCTGTGGATGCTTGGGAGATGTTAGAATCCAATACAGGTCCTGATTGGGGTTATAATAATGAACACAGATTGAAGGGACGAGTGATTCTGACTACAGACCACTCACAAAACAACGTGTGCTAGTCACTGTGAAAAATTGTGGGATTATGTGAATGGGACTTACTATTGACATTATCCAGAGACATTAGACAATGATTTCAATTGCCCTACCCAGACAAGGACCTAGACAAGGAGGCCATAGATAGTGAAGTATGCAAGACAAACAAAACGTACAGGGACTGCTGACTGGGACTGTTTTCTGAATTGTTAAAACAAGCAACTGGATATGGGGATAGAAACGCTTGGTTGTGGACAGTGGAACACATGTCAGCACGGCTGCTGGCTTTGACGATTGTGTTGTGTGTTCTCCACTGCACGTCCCACTTTGTATAACAGCCCCTGCTCCACTTTTCCCAGAAGATGTAGATGGTTATAATTGTATGATAAAGTTGTTTTGGCAAGAAAAGCGACCTGACTGAGGAACAAAGACAGTCCCTAGCAACTGTTCAATGTTTGAAGTATTGTTTCCAGAATTGGATTCAGAAATTCAGCCCCCTATGTTTTCCCACAGGAAAAGCAATTACACCTGTTTCCACTCACTCAATGGAGGGACGAGGCGCGTCTCCAGTGGGGGTTCCTTCCACAGACTGGTGTGTCCACAACAACGTCACCCTGCCCACGTCCGGTCCCCATGACCCGGACCAGAGGTGATTTGTATTGGTGTGTGTGAGATTTAAAACACTTAGACATAGACTAATTAAAAATTTACAGGTAGTTGTGCAATGGTGCGATTAATGATGCCCATTTCCATAATTGGCCATAAGGCCATCCCTAGACAGTCCCCACCCACTGCATAGATTTAAAAGAGCAATACCATTCCTAGATACTGGGAAAGATAATCCAACTTACATGGACTCTATAGGTGTTCCACGTGAGTCCCTCATGAATTCAAACGGTAGATCAAATTGCAACAGGTTTCGAAAATATTCCCATAATTTCCGCTATTTTTCCCTATCACCCAAACAAAAATGTAGATAGAATTAATTTCATTTGGTATACTACATGCTTAGGCTTGCCAATCACACCAGGGACGCAATAGAGGATTGGCGGAGCAGCTGGGGCCACCTCTCTGGTGGCATTTCAAAACAGAGTGCTCTAGACATGCTCTTAGCAGAGAGAAGTGGGGTCTGCAGTTTATTTGGTACAGAATGTTGTGTATACATTCCAAATAACACACATCCAATGGATCATTTCCAGGGCTCTGCTGGTCTCAAAATGCTGTCAGAGCAAATGCATGACGTTTCTGGAGTCCCGAGAAACCCACTGGAGGCGTGGGCTGGACAGGCATCTTGGGGAAGTGGAAGCATGTAATTTTGTCTGTTTTATCACAAGCCTTGCGGCCATCTTTGCAATAGATAATGGTTGTAGGATGCTGCTGTATACCTTGTATACGTTCTCTTTGTGTTAAAGCTATAGACACCGCTGTTAACCCTGGACTGAGAGGTCAAATGCTTGCATTGGTTGAGGATTCCCCCGTCCCGTCGCCTGAGGAAGGTTATTGAGATGTGTGGCCTTTTTTAATAGCGGCCAAAAGAGGGAACTGTTGTATTTATAACTAAGAGACATTCTAAAACCATGTGTTTTAGAATGTCTATCGACCTCTGAGTGGCAGGCCAGTCCTTTTAAGTTAATTTTAGGGGTCTTCTTGGGGGACCAGCTAAAGTAACAGATGGGTTCTTCTGTTTGGATTTTGTCTGCCTAGCCTTGGTACATGCTGACTGTTGCATTATTGAACCCACTCCATCAGGAGTGGGTTGACACTGGAGCCTGCTAGTCTACGCACTTGTTTAGACAACAGAGATGGATCTCAGACCAAGAGACAGCTGGCCGGAGACGCTAGGTTAGAGAGGCATGGATTCTTTTTAGATGCAGACGGGAGAAGACAGATGGAGGAAGGCGGACCACGGGACCCCGGAAGCTGGCTGATACCACGCCCCTTCTTCCTGCACATTTACTTAAGGAATAGCTTGAATGTGTTAGTTAGAGTTTTTTAGACTGGATCAGGGACAGCAGTGTGACTTTGCTGGAGCGCCCACCAAAGTCATACTTTATGCTTTATATAGGGAATAAGGGATAGTTAAAGTTGGTCCAGGTCGTTGTGTTAGATTCTTTTTGTATTAGGGAAATAAACCTT